CCCCAAAACCCCAAAACCCCAAAACCCCGCTATAAGTATTTATGGATTTTATGACTTTCAACTAAATTTATAGATTAAAATGCTTAATAATAATTAATCAATTGAATTATATAATGTCAATATTCATCATCACTTTCACTTTCTTCGTTTACCTAAATGTTTACGTCTTTTCTCTGAACTTCTACCATCTTAAGCAGGATGTCCAGGATATATTCTATTTTCTTATAAAGGGCTAGAGTCTCATTTTCGGAGTTTTTGAATTTTAAAATGGCTATTCTACCTATTAGTTCAAGTAACTCAACAAACTTGAGTTGCTTATATTACCATGTATCATTCGACTCAGTGATTACGCTCATCTTACACATTCCATAGCAGTAAACAGCATCCTTTTCAATCAAGTTCAATTAAGAATCTCTAAGCATTAAATTTATTGTGTCTTAATATGTCATAAACTTCTTTCTAGGTTCCCAATAATAGCTATAAACCTTTTTGAGACCTTCTAGATTTGCTTCTAAGATATCATTTACCTCCATAACCCAAAGCTACTCATCCCTAAATTCCTACCATGAGTCTGGCTCAGCAAGAGGGAAAATATGTTCATTCAATAATTTTGTAAGACCTTCATTAATCGTAGGCGTTATTCCTGGATCTCTAAACTTAGCTTAAGCTATTCTAACTAAAATTTCGTAGAATTCATATCTTTATAGTGCTTTATCTGGGTTGTCATCATTTTTTTCAAGTTCTACATTAGTTGCAATGAAAATTCTATCAATCGTTGCTATAATGACGTTCTTGTCAAAGATTTTGCATTTTTCGCAGAAATTGGAGAAATCAATCCAACTAATGTTTGGGAAACTACTATTGCATATTTCTGTAATGAAGATTTTCTTAATCAACACAACATTTTGCCTAATAATTTTTTCGCACATTAATCTCTAAATGAATTAATAATCAGATCTCTAAGCTTACATCGTTATCATCTTTTATAAATCTATGAATTTTCCAATATTTTAAATCATCGTCAAGCATTAGCTATATAGTTTAAGGTGTATCTTCTTTCCATTCTTTAAATACCGATGTATCCTTTTTGAATACTCTCTAAAATGTCTTTTATTTGGTCCCCTTTATGTCTTTAAATGGTGTTATCAAATAGTTTATCTTACATATTGGAATATCTTCTTCTCTTAGACAAGATATAGATCTCAGCATATTGACTTCTTAGGTCTCGTGACTCTTAATTAAATAAGAATTCTTTCCTGGCCTCATAAAGCATGCATAAATAAAAACCTCTTCATTACGAAGGTCAACATTTTCAAGATGAATATTATTGATGTATTAAATTTTTTTGTATTTGTTTTACTTTGTTACTATATCCTTCCAGTGCTATCTATAGTCCTAATTAACTTCATTTTGAATCTGTTAGTATGTTATCTAGTCTTTTTGGTTCAATTAACTAACACTCGCAACTTCTTCTCTAATTTTACCTTACTTTTTCATTATTTTTATGGCATCATTCTTTGCTGGGTCTAAATGGTAACAATAATCTGAAAGCTTTATAAACTCTTAAGGAGTCCATGAGTTAAATCCTCCAGCTATTTATGGACAACTAATCTTTTTATCATCAAATCTACTTAAAGCCTCAAGACTTTACTGATCATTAGAAATTTATTCCTCACAAACAGCATATTCAATACTCTTTGACCAGAAGATAATAGTGTATATCCATTTACTACAAATCCAGCATTCACAGCAAACTGGTGCATCATAAATATCATCTTAAGTGAGCATTTGCCATTATCCACTTCCTGGCTACTCGAATTTATGCCCTAGAAATCTTTAGAAGATGAGCTTAAGATTGTCAGCTGGAGGGTTTAAATTCTATAGGTTGACACTATCAATCATTTTCCTCTTTCTAGTCAATATTTTCATTTATACTCCGTCAATAACCTATGATGATCTAGGACTTTGAGGTCGGTGCTATTAACTAACATGCATCTCTATCATGTGGTTGTAGTTTTAGTTAGTTTTAGCATGGATTCTTTCAAATAAAAACTGCCTAACTTCTTGATTAGCTCCAGGATTGCCAGTAAAATGTATTGAAAGAAGACTTTTTGCTTTTCTTAGGTTAGTACCTATTTCTCTAACTGTCTCTGATTCTAATCTTGTATGGCTAAGGTCGAGGTGAAGTAAATTTTTATTATACTTGATAAATTTACCTAAACTTTCCTTAAGTAAATTCATATACTCTTCATTAGTATTAGCTTATGTAGACTAAAGATTATTCCAGGATAAATTGAGATACTCTAAATACCTATTTTTACTTAATGCAGTCCAGAATTCTCTGAGATTTTAGCTTCTCAGTCCATTCCAACTTATATCAAGGTCTATAAGATGCCTAGAACTGGTTAGAACTTGTGATAGTAATCCAATACAGTAATCAGATAGATTGGCTTTGACCAAACTGAGTCTTTTCAAATATAAGCTCTCCTTAATTGAAATTAGGATATTAGCAGAACATGTACTAGTAATTTTGCAATTAGTGATTCTAAGATCTTCCAAATTTTTTGGGAATGTTCTTTTTAAAATATTGGAAAGAACTGCTGTTGAGTACTTTCCAACATGATTTCTGCAGAGTATTATCTGCTTGAAGTCATCTTATGACTCAACTCCTTATAGAATTGATTTCAACCATTTATCCTACAAAGCATTATTGTCTAGTGCCAATTTTGTGAGACAGTTTTTACAGGTTTACAAATATTTCTTAACAGCTTTACAAATTCCTTTGTTAAGAGGGTAACCCTAAAGAGAGAATTATTTGTTTTAAATTCTTGAGAGAGTTGGCAGAGCAAGAACATTTTCTTTGTAACATTTTAAGAAATATTATAGATTTGGATCTAAGTCAAGTTTCTCCGCTATATTTACATCAGTTTAAATTTGTCCTTACATTAACTTGGGAAAGAGTATTGCTTGCAAACTTCGTTAAAGTTATTTTTCTCCTTGACATCATGAACTAGTTGCTCAATAGTTTATTCCTTCAAATCTAAAATAAAAATAACTTTAAGAATTTAAACTAACTTTTAGATAGAATTTCAAATTAAGGTGATATACTTCTTCTACTGTACTCTGGATTTGAACTAGAATTGTGATGAATATGAAGCTCCTTTTTTATTTAAAATTCATTTATCATCTGTTCTATTTTTAATGAAAATTCCTATTCTTGTAATTTTAGCTCCTCTGATGTAAAATCTTCATCTATACCATCTTTAACAAACTCAGCTTCTGTGTCAAATGAACTTTCCCTAGAGTAAGTAGTACTGTTGAAGTTTCCAAAGGAAATAGTGGCCTTACTATTATTTCCAAATGTAATCTCTGCCATATCTTTGTTAGCAAATCCATCATTCATTAGTCTAGGTGAGAGATTTAAGAACTTACCAGTGTTATTATTTATTTTATCAAATACTTAAGCACTGCTATTATTTTCTGTATATCGATGAGATTTTTAGTTACTATGCTGGTCTCTTGCTTGATTTTCAAGCTTGATTAATATTTCCTTTGTATGATGCTATGCATGCCTTTTAGGTGATAGCAAGTTTCTTTCAGGATGCTTCATTGGAGAAGTGAATTCTCCAATGCTCTTGTTGTTGGGTATTGTTTGGACATTTTTGCTAAGGCTGTTGAGCTCAGAGTCCAAGTGATTATTCATCTTGTTAATTCTTACTTCAAAGTCCTGTTGGAAAATAGTGAAACGCTCCTTTGATATCTTGTTGTTATGAGTACTCACATCTTTATAGCCCTTCAAAAGAGATTCATCATTCATTACTTAATCCACTTCTTTTCTAAAATATCCAGGAGTGTTGGTGAATGATTAATCAAATTAACTCAACTATTTAAATTGCTTATGATCAATTGAATTTCTTAACGAATGAGCCTGATTTTTATGATTCTATATTTAGGGGAATTACCCGAAATCAGGCTTTGTTCTTAACTTTTTAGTAAAAAACTATTCCTCTAACTGCTAAAGTCTTTACTGATCGGCTAGAATTTACTAGCTCACAACATTCATTGAGTTATTAAGATTAGCCTTGCTGCTTACATTGGACTGCTTGATCGTAGCTTTTTAGTACTAGGGAGAATTTACCTATGATTAATACTGGTGGAACCTTTTCTGTATGATTTTCTAGAGCTCGTCTTTTTTATCTAAATAAATGAATGTTATAATTGTGATTTATTTACCATCATAAACATCAGACTACTTCGTTGAGTCATTTGTAAAGAGTTTGTTTTGAGCAATAATATTTTGAATGTGCGATCGACTCGTATTTATGTCATTTATCTCTTTCCTCTTTTTAGAAATGTCTCCTAAAGCCTTTTTAATATTCAAATTAGCTTGATTGTTCCCATTATGCTTGAATCTATTGTAATCTATCATAGTAAAGCGAGGGTCCTTTCCATCGTATGACTCAAGCATTTATGGGGCTTTACTCTATTTAAGAGAACTCATAATCATTTGTTTATTCCCTTGATCTGTTCCATCACTTTAAAAGCTTTATAATTAACTTTAGTTTAATTTTCCGTCATATTATGTTCCAAGTTATTGGCTGTTCTTTTATTTCTTCGGATCTATCAGAAATGGCAGCTGACTTTGAATCAGTTTCTGCTGGTGATCACTAATAGTGATATTGTCAAACATTATACTTTGTATTGGAAAGATAAAGAATTATTTCAAAAATATTTATAATTATTCTAAGAAAGTTATTTACTCAATATAATTGAAAGAAGGGGTTTTGGGGTTTTGGGGTTTTGGGG